CATGAGCCTGGGAAGGAGACACCACCCAGGCCACCCGCCTCGGCACGTACCCGGCAGGCCAGCACGCTTAGGGTCCGTTCGTGCAGGTTCATGATGGGGTAGTTCTTCCCCTTGTAGTGGTTGACCTCCTAGGGCCAGAGCGAGGTCGGGTGAGCAGGCAACCCAGGGCGGGTGAGGGCTGTGATCCCCCAACAGTCCCTTGTGGGTGGGGCCGCCCCGGTCCCCAGAAGAGGCCCCGGTTTGTGTCGTCCGCCTCCACCAGCATCCAAGACCTCACCTCCTGTGGGCCCCCCGACCCAACCTCCACCCCAGGAACCCCCGCGGGCCCCCACACCCTATCCGCTGTCCAGGGAGTGAGACCTGGTCAAAGTGCAGGCCGGCGATGACGTAGGGCCTCTCTGCGAGGCCGTGCACCTTCTCCAGGAAGTCCACGTGGCCGATGTCCATGCCGCGGTTAAGGAGCAGGTAACAGAACTGGGGGCCCCGGCCGGCTCCCTCACACTCCACCCCAGTCTGGGGGCCCGTGGAGTCAGTGAGGCCCCCTCTGGGTCCCGTGGCCCGGTGGTACAGACGTGGCTATGCAAAGAGAAGGCCCAGGACGGCGGCGACCCTCCCACTAGGTCCCAGAGGATACGGAACAGGTCAAAGGCGCCAGCCACGTAGATGACTGTCTCCCCTGGCTGGGGTTCTTTCCCAGAAGCAAACTGGATGATCTTCTGGGACGTCTGCAGGAACTGTGACACCCCCGTCCAGGGGTTCCGTCCCCCCGGGCACTGTAAGCCGAGAGGGGTCTGGTCGATGACACGCCTCGCAGGCACGTCCTTCACCCGTCCCCACCCCCGAGCCCCTCCTCTGAGTCTGGGGCTGCCCACACCTGCCTGCCTGGCTGTTCTGGGAGCAGGCAGCAGGGACCGTGGACCAGAACCCGAGCCCCAGCCACAGCCTGCCAGCTCGCTCGACCGTCTGTGTGCCGGACGGTGGGGGCCCGGCGGGCCATGCCCAGTCCATTCCAGGGCCAGGCTGGGTAAGGTCCCTGTGACCAGCAGGACACGGCTCCACCCCATGGCCACGGCAGGCACTGCGGCCAACACCGCCACGGCCTGACAACTGGCCCGCCGGTGGACGCGGCCCCTGTGGGGATCCAGCACCCTGAGGCCACCTTCTGGTCACCTGGGAGGAGCCTTCGGAGGAAAGCGTCTCCTTCCTTCCTGGGTGTCAGGTGAGGGGGTTACAAAGGGAGAGAGGACCAGGCCGTCCAGTTAGAGGCCACCAGACAGGGGCCGCTGTGACCGGCCAGTTTGCCAGGCCCGGTGGTCAGTGCCCAGCCAGGGCGCAGAAGGCAGGGGGCTGGGTGAGGGGCCTGGCCGGCCTTTCCCCAGGGGCGGCCCGGCGGGGGGACGTCAGTGCTCACCTTGCCAAAGCTGTCTGCGTATTCCCGGTACTCGGAGGACATCTCCTGAACGGAAGGATGCGGGATGTTGAGCGGCCTCACTCTCTAGACACGACCAACCCCAGGACCCCCAAGACTCACTGTCCTGGAGCCCACACAGGGGTCAGGACACGGCAGGCTGGGTGCTCCCTCGCTCCCAGCGGTGTCCTCAGCCCCGGGACGTCGAGGATGCCACCCAGGTCCCCCACAGACTCACCTCACAGCTGTGATGCGCCTTGGTCACCAGCAACATACGGCCGACGAGGTCTGTGGTGGACACGCCCTGGGTGCGCCTGCACTCTCTGGGGACAGAGGTGGGGTCAGGGCTCGCGTCCTGGACACGGGTCGAGAGGCCCCACCTCCGGCTCACCCCAGCCCCCCGCCGTGCCGCGTGCAGACCAGAGAGCGGGAAGGCCGCTGTGCTTTTATCAACTGAAGGAAATGACAGAATAGAGGAAAAACGTTGCTAAACCCCAAGCGTGAGGCGCTGGGTGGGCAGGCCAGCCTCGGGGAGGTGGCAGCTCCGGCCCCCGCCGCACCCGGACTCTCGGGTCTTGCCCTGCGGCGCGTTCTCTGCCAAGGGCGTGCCGGGCCGCGCCGGCCTTCTGGGTTAGTCACCGGCGACAGAACCCGCTCCCCGGTCACGGCCCCATGCGCCTACTGTAGCCGCCGCGTGGGGCGCCGCAGGCCTACGACACGCCAGCCCCCCACGCTGCGGCCCTGCCCGCTAGACGCGGGCCACGGCCAATTTCCTCGCGGGCAGCCAGAGCCCGGGGGAGGCTTCGAGCCCCACTCCTCGAGAAGGCGGGACCCTTGCTGCGGCTCACCTGTACCTCCCAGCCTGCTTCACTTCCTCGTAGGTGTCCCTGCCGTCTACGGTCAGTGTGATGTCATCTAAGGGGCAACACACGCGCGGGAACGAGGATCCTCGACCCAGAGCCACGCAGACTTTTAGGACCCCCAACCCTCCTCCCAGGCCCACCTGGCACGCAGGGACTCGCCAGTGGGGAAGGAGCCAGGGCTTTCCCAGATCCCCCGAGGGCTCGGTGCTGCTGCCCCAAGTGTGCGGAGGTCCCAGAGCCCCAGCCCCGCCCGCTCACCGCCATGGACACAGAAGTCGCAGCTGTACTTGTCCAGCGTCTCCAGCGTGGTCACATAGGGAGCGGCTGGCACCACCTCGTCCACCCACTTGATGGCCCGTACCATCTTGTATCTCTCCTCCTGAGTGAACACCGGGGGCCCCTTGTGCTTGGAAATCTCCTCTAGAGCCGGAGAAACGACAAGGATGAGACCCGTGAGCTCTGGAGGGGCTGGGCCACAGAAGCCCCCGCCCGGCACCGAGCAGTCTCTGACCACGTGTGAGCTCCGTCGCGGGCAGCTGTCTCTGTCACCGCGCCCTCAGCCCACAGGGCAGGAACACACCCAAGCGGACACCGCTCTGTCCTCTACGGGCCAGCGCAGGTGCTCACGATGTGTTTGCTGGACAACTACACGGTCCCTTCATCGGGTTCCAGGTAGTCAAGCGCTCCCTTTGACAAGTGGGTGCTCAGTCCTCGAAGGCCCTGGGAAGCAGGTCGATGCGGATGTGTGTGTGGAGTGGGCGGCAGAGCCGGAGGCTTGGTCCGTTGGCTGCACTGCTCAATGTGAGACGCACAGCGGGAAAGCCCTGGGGGCGCTAAGCCTGGGTCTGGAGTCGGGGTGAGCATGCTGAGCTGTGATCTTCAGAAAGACGGCCTTGGGTCTGGTCTCACCCTTTGCAGGGCCCTGCAGAGTTAGTGAAAGGCGGCAGCCCCAGCTTACCATCGGTGTGCACACCCACGACGAGGTAGTCGCCCATGGCCCGTGCCTGGCGCAGCTGGTTAGAGTGGCCGTAATGCACCATGTCGTAGCTGTGAAAAGGACAGGGTGCTGAGTCCCTGTGCTGAGGACACGCAGTGAGCAGCTGGAAGCGGAGGTGTGGGGGGTGCAGCCTCTGACAAGCCGCCACTGGGAGCTGCTCCCTGGGGTCTGGGCTGAGCCAGGGCTTTCAGGGGGAGGCGGGTACCCGGCTCTCCACACCACCGCACCCTGGGCCACATTCGGCAAGCATGACAGGGGCCGGACTGTGCCCAGGGACAGGGCCTGCTGGTCCCCAGGGCCGGCGAGCGCACGGCACATACTGTGCGCCCCAGACCTGCCACGGAGCTCTGCCCTTTGCTCTCAGCCCCTCCGCTATCCAAACGCCAACTGTGGCAGGCAGTCCCTTTAAGCTTTAAACTGACAGTAACTTAGGAGTGGACTGGACTCTGTTCCACTCTGAGGCAGGTGGACAGTCTTGGGGCCAACACAAAACAAAGTCCAAAAGTGAGCAAAGGCAACTAGCTAGCTTCGGAAATCCTGCTTGTTCCCCCCTGGCCTCCGGAAACTCAGCGAGCCTCTGCTCTCTGGGGCCAACCACCACCTCCCTGGCCTCTGGTTGTAGAGCTCTTATCCTTTGATCTAGGCCTGGTTAAGAGTAACTTCTCAGCTGAAGACTCACGGGCTCCCCGCATGTGCCGAGGGGAACCCGCACGTTTCTCTGGGGGCCCCAAGTTAGCCCCACAGGAGCTTTGTTTTCTTCTAGCTTCATGTTGTCTCCTGAGTAGGTGACACTGCCCCCGCTTCTCCAGGTGACCCTCTTCCACTCCATGCCACCTGCTACTCCCGCCACAGTGCACCAGTCCCGGCACAGAAGCCTGTGGGGTCACATGGCTCCGGCCCTGGGGTGAGGGAAGAAAAGTCCAAATCCAGAGGCACGGCTGGTCCTTAAGCTCACTGCACGGGCTGGGCCAGGGGTGCAGGGTGTGTCCTAGCTACTGTGGCCGTGTGGCCATGGGTGGCCTGTTGGGGTAGGGGCCCAGCCCGGCCAGGGCCAAGGTCAGAGTCCACCAACAGAAGCCACGCTCCCTCTGCCCCGGGTGACTGTGGTGCAGCTGCAAAGTCACGGCAGTCCCTCGTGCTCTCCTTGGAAGCTGTAAGCTAGCAGGGATGGGGACTGCCCTCTCTCGGATTCTATTAAGTAAAGGTGGGAGAAAGCACTCTAGGTGGCAAGACCTCAGTAGAGGTCAGTCTTCCTCTTATCTGTTGACAGCCCCAAACTTATCTTGAAACAAGTCCAGCTGTCTGGCTGGCCAGAAGAGAGAAGGGAGGGGGCACTGTAACCCTCCTGGGATGGCCCCAGGGACCTGGGGGCCTCACTGGGGGTCTGGGACACCAGCAAGTCCTGCCCTGATCCCTGCCCAGACAACCCAGGGGAATCTCTC